GGTGCCAGGCTGGCTCAGCTGCGCTGCCCCGCGCTGCCGCCGCGCTCGCTTGCAGCGGAGCGATTGCCCTGGACCTGAGCTGGCAGGCCTTCGCTCAGCACCGCGGCAAGTAAACTGTCTCTTTTGAATGTCATTTGGCAGTGTCAGGATTAAAAGAAAAAAACAGCGATAACAGATTTACCCTGGAAAGGGATTTGGTCTTGTTAGACTCCAAGGGACGGCTACAGTCCTCTGCTGATGCCTGAAAACTGGATCATGCTCATGTAAAATAGAGCTGCCTGCAAGGGTTGACTGCTATAATTAACAGGCAGTTTTTAGAAATTACTGGCTAATACCATTTAATAGAAATACTGCCAACTATTATTGTTCTTAAAACTTGGTTTGTTTCTTCAGTAATAGAAAATGACGCAACACTGCTTCACTGGGAAGAGAGACACCTTTGTCTCTGTTACATATCACTGCCTATATTTTTGTATAATGGTTTACATGGCAAATACAAATTTTAAAATTTAAATATATCTCCAAAAAGCAACCAGAGGGTCACCTGCTTCCTGAGCAATCACAGTATCGGAGATACAGCATAGCCTATTTATTATAACGTGGAATTACTGACCTACTCCCACTCCCATTGCAGGAGCATAGCTTTTGCCACTGATGTTGCTTAAGCAGGAGTAAGTTTAAAGGTTTCTGTGAGAGGCAAATATGCTCATGTAAGTTAGAGCAGCTCCATCTGGAGCATATCCCTTGCAGTGTGTACAGTATCGCTCAGAGAATTAATGCATGTTTTTGGTAACAAACTGGCTGAATCATACAGGAGAATACAGATAGCTCAGAGATAACTTACTCTGCTTATGTGAGGCAGGTCTTCTAGCACCTACAACATTTTCACAATATTGCAATAGTGACCGAAGGGTTGTTTCTCAAACCGCATCACCCAGAAGGTACCAGCTGAGAAGTTTCTGTTTGATTGCTAAAGAGTAGAAAGCAACAAATGAATATTGGCAAATCATAGATCAGGTATGCTGTCGATGTTGCACACTTCGGTCTTACCGCCCACCTTCACTTCAGGGAAAGGAGAAACCAGACCTGCAGACACATTAATCACCGCCCACTTCAAGAGTTTCCACTCACCTGTTTGGAAGTGAACTCCAGAACCTCGCTGCTTTCTATTGACTGCCCAGAGAGCTAGCAGGCTCCTGGGGCTCACAAAGGGTCATTCATTGCTCTTCTGTTAAAGCCCTTTATGATGCCCTTTTTAAGGTATGGCTTTTCAAGAGAAGGCAGTCCGTGCCAAAGTTGATCTTTCTGTTAGAAGAACAAGGCGGGGGGGGTGGGGAGGTAAAGGCGTCTCTCTTGTCTGTGGGGAGCAGCACGAAGTGGATGCACTGTGTAGGCTTGGGAGGACTTGACATCATTGGTGCATGCTCATCTGACCCAGGCTCCCTCGCCTCCATGGGGGAGACAGGCAGCCCTGGGCAGAGAAATGCAAGGCCCAGACCATATCTGAGCACCCACAGGCTGGTTGCTGACGGCCCCAATCAGTGGGTTTTAATATCGGGGATCTGTGCATCGTTCAATCCCTTTCACAGGCGGCACCCCACCTCCACTATTTCTGCAGGAAGACACTTCAGTGCACACGGCACAGGTACTTGTACCTTGGAAGTGCTGGTGATGGACATCTTTCAGCCAGGCCTGAGGTAAGAAAGCCTAGGATGTTAGTGGCACCTAAGGGATGGAGGTATCCAATCCCACTGCCTTTTAACAGTAGCCGAACACAGCAAGCTCTTGGACAACCCTGAGAGTCCCAAGCCAGCATCTGAAGCAGGCTACAGGGCCTGAAGCTGAAATGGTGGTTAACAGCTACGTAATCTCCGCTGCACTTGGAGCAAGCGGTTCGCAGCACTCCTGAGCAGCAGAACACAGTAACGTCACTGGTTCCCCTTGCAGCTCACATATGGGCCAGGTGAGGAGGAGACCATGGAAGAGGAAAGCTGGCCCCAGAACACATGCATGGGGCTGAAGGCTGGGTGGTGCCAGCACCCGACTCTGAAATGAAGTTGTCTGGAGAGCTGTGGATGACGGTATAATTTAAACAAGTGCTGTGTTACTATCTGTTGCTTCCGTAGCAAACATTTCTGGCTCTGACACTGCTGTTGGGAGCCTTGTCAGAATGCCTCCTCGGCAGCAACCTCCCCGCTGGCTGACGCAGCGCATGTCTGTAGCGGATGACACTGATCTTACACTGCTTATAAAGGTGGTGAAGCTGGTATGCTAACAAATAATATTGCGTGAATTTCCCTCATTGCATTCCTTCCTGCATTGCTGTCTCTGCTCAATTCCCCCCATTAATCTAGGCATTAAAAGACAATTTGTTCACTTTTCCAGACCCCGTGTATCACACTAATTGTCAGGAGCGTTGTTGCCCACCAGCTAGAAACAGAGGAGATTTGAGTTCACCTTCTCTTTTGAAATGTTACTTCATCCTCCCACACCTTTGTTGTCTTTGCTAACTCCAGCCATCCATCCCCAAGACCTACACCCACTCTGATCCCAACTCACCAACGAACATACATGAAAACAGACCTTGCTAAATTGATTGCCATGCTTGTTCCCTACCTGTGGCTATAGAATCACTCAGATACTAAATCTGGGCCATGAATGAAAGTCTGGTGGGTGACGTTAGTCACCGTAACCTCAGCACAGCAGCTTTGAGGTGCTGCAGGTCCTCAGGACTCAGGTGGAGGCCTGACACCCCATGGAGGCAATAGCTGGTCTGGATGCAGTGCTCAGGCACAGCCCACCTGTGGGGATGGGAGCCATAGACTCAGATGGAGGAGAAGGCTGACCTTGCCATGGGACACCTGATTCCATACCACAGGGCTCCCTGGGTCCTTCTTGCAGACTGTGTTGTGGTTGGAGCATCCAGCTGAGATGCTGAAGGTGCAACAGAGCCCCGTGCTCCTCCTTCCCCGCCTCCAGGGAAAACCCTGCATGCTGGGATCTAGGGCATTATGGCTTGGACTGTCTTCTGTTAAAAGTTTTCCACTCTGTACCAACACCCTCCTGGAAGAGATGGAAGATGCTGAGCAAACACTTGTGCAAAAGAGGTTTCAAAAGGGGATGAAGGCAAGAAAAAGTTACATAATGCTGGTACCACAACGGCTAAGCATTGATGCCATAAATAAAAGGCACTGTGTTGTTTGTTGGACATTTTATTTTAGTTGTACGGTAAACTGTATAGTTAGAGTCTGAATAAACCTCTTTTGTCAATTTTATTACCTTTCTGATATAAAAATAAATAAATCTAAACAAAGAAGAAGTGAAGACCTGCCAAGCCAGCCTGGTTCAAGAAGAACTGCACTGAAAGGGGAAGAACTGTGCCTTAAAGTTGAGGGGATAAAACAACCAGCTTTCAGTAGAGCAGAGCACCTCCAGAAGGAGCTCTGTTTCACACTGGAGGATCTAGATTAAAAGTAAGAAAAGAGGGGACTCTTCCAGAAAGACAGACAAAACCAGACATGCCATAAAATTTTTGCTACCAGAATTCCTTTCTTGTTTGCTAGGAAGGCTGAATGCAAATAGCTGATGAGAAACAGGAGTGTGGCAGGGTAGCACCAATTAGGAGTATTTGAATGATCATAACAAAAAGAGTTCACAAGCAAATGATACAATGTATTAAGTATCTTTTACTAGGCTGAGTATAAAGCAGAGGCATCAAACAACCCCGCTTTTACTTTGCAGTTGCTCTCACCAGTTGAGTTCTAGGTTTACCTCTCCAGTGCCAAGCATGGGCACTTCCAGCAAGCAGCAACACGCAAATACCGTTGGGTGGAGGTGAATCAACCACCTTCGCCCATGAAGCCCGTGAGGGACCCTCGGACAATCTGCCAAAGGTGGGTGTTTTTACTTTCTTGCTAGACTCCAGTCAGGACACCACACCTTGTGATAGTATCTCTGTAATAAGCAAACAACTTGAAGTGATATTGTGTCACTGCAAATGAAGCAGGAGGGTGACCTAGCAAGTCAGGATTTCATTAATGCTCTGGTGACTGCAGTCTGAGCGTGCAGGTGCACCTCTTCTGCCTTGGGACCCTGGACACCTCACACTGCCATGGGGAGACGTGTGAACACTAGCCACGCGTCTGGGATTGCGCTGCCCTCCTGAGAGAGAGCCCACGTGGAGCCATAGCAGGGCTGTCACTACACTACAGTCCTATTTGCTCTTCTGTGCATCACTGTTAAATGTCTTTTAATGCGCTAGGAAGAAGATTATAAATGTAAGTCCATCACAGAAATATGGTATCTCAGTCACATTAGTATGGTTACAGTGAAAGTCGACAGGATTACGTAAGTTTTGTTTAATTACCAAGACTTGCCCAATGCTGTACGCATGAGTGTTCAAGCAGAGTTGCTGACTCCCACCACTGCACCCTCCTGCCTTTCCCTCAGTTGCAGTTACGTGGTCTAGTTCCAGCTATAGGAGCTGCATCCGGTCTGCAAAGGCTTTCCAGCTCTGAACGCCCCAGTGAATCCCACAAAGCCCTTAATGGGGCCAGTCCCTCACTGCATAGACCAGCATTTTCAGGAGTTTTGCTTTCCACGGAAAGGGAGCGATTTAGAGGACTTTGCAGACACTCCCCTGGCTGGGCACAGACTCTGGCGATGACATGAGGCCAGGGGAGTGAGCCTCAAGCCATCCAAGGGCATTCCAGTTTGGCAAGGTAGCATTTGTCCTGCTCTGGCCCCCCCCAGTTAGACCTACTGGCTCACCAACCATTTTCTCTCAGTAGTACTTACTTTCTATAGTAATACTTACCTCAGTATTACACTTCAGATCTCAGTGAACCAAAGTCCAGTGACACAAAATGGTCTTCTGTGATATCTACCTATTACAGGACATTGTGCAAATGTGCATTTTGGCAAGTGCCTGACCCTCCTATCGATTGACCTATTTATGCTCTCTGGAAACAACCGTGCTTGTCCCTAGCACTCCATGCAGTTGACCTTGCCCTTTCTTCTTCCTTATTTCTTCCTCTCACTCAAACTATTCAAATCATTTGGGGCCAAGATCTGACAGTACTACACTCTACTGGCCATTGGCCTGGTAGCCTCATTCCCTCCCTCTTCCCATTCCCTTCCCATAGGGCTCCTGTCCTAAGGAAACACATAGACCATGGCAGTAGAAGTAGGAGGAGTGCCCTTGGTGGCCTAGCTAGGAAGGAAGGGATTCTCAGGATTCCCAAAAGAGGAGAAACAGGTGTGTCCTGGTTAGTTTGCTTCTGAGTTTGACCTGCTCAGCCGCTCCCTACCAAAACTTCCCTCACTCAGTCCCATAGGCCCATGCTGAAGGTCTCACAAACTCCACAGTCAACAGGCTTCTTTTGAAGGTGATTAGCCAAAATACTACCAAAATATAAGATGTCTTTTGTAAGATATCAGTACATTTTTCCTAGGAAAATTATGGAGCAAGTCCTCCCAGAACCATTTCCAGATACAAAAAGGCGATTAGGAACAGCCAGCATGGACTTACTATGGGCAAACTGTACCTGGCTGACCTGCTCATCTTCTGGGATGGAATGACCAGCTGGAGGGATGGGGGGGGGGGGGGGGGCGGGGGGGGGGGGGGGGGTTAGCATGGCCTTTGACATCATCTCCCATTTTAGCCAAACTGGAGTGGTATGGACTGGATGGGTGGACCACAAGATGGGTGATAAAAGCTCATGGCTGGACCACAAAGCTCAAAGGGTAATAGTCAACAGTTTGACATGTAATTGGAGATCAGCTAGGAATGGCATTCCTCAAGCGACAAGACTAGGGCCAGTCTTCAACAGCAACCTGCATGATAGGGCAGACGGCCCTCTCAGCAAGTTTGTGCATGACATTGAAGTCGAAGCGTGGATCAATATGCTGGAGGACAAGGCAGCCATTCAGAAGGTCTTCAGCAACCTGTAGGACTGCGCTGACAGAAACCTCACGGAATTCAGTGAAGATAAACGCAAAGTCTGCACCTGACACAATAAACCTGTGCAACAGCACAGGCTGGGAACTGAGTAGCTAGAAAGCAGCTTTGCAGAAAAGGCCCTGGGGTCCTGGTGAAAAGAAATTTTGACAGAAGTCAGCAGGGTGCCTTTGCCATGATGAAGGCTAACCGAATACTAGGCAGTATCAGAGATAAGGGAGCCAGACCCTTCTCAGAGGTGCATAGCAAAAGGCAAGAGGCAATGACTGCAAGTTGCAGCAAGGGAAATTCTGTTGGACATAAGGAAAGAATTGCTCAAAACACAAGCAAGTTATGCACTGGAAAAGGTGCCCAGAGAGATCTGTGAAATCTCCATTCTTTGGAGAGTTTCAAAATTTGGTGGACAAAGCCCTGAGTAACCTAAGCTAACCCCTGCTCTGAAGAGGTTGGACTGGAGCCTTCTAGATGCCTCTTCCAACCTAAATTATTTTGTGATTTTTTTTTTTTAACAGCTGTTGATCAGGGAGACCTGGCTGGAGTTCCTGTTTCCTCAAAAACAATGGAAGCTGTTATCTCTATAGCATCACCTGAAAGTTATTATTTATTTCTAATATGAATGAATTCTGAGTATGCCTCACAAGTCCAGACAGTCAATCCAGACTTCATTTCAGAGATGTTAAGGATCAAAGAACTGAACCTTCTGTCTCAGAGCTTCAAACTGAGCAGAAAAGAGGCCTTGTCTTTAATGCACAGGAGTCATTAGGATGTATCAGATGTGAATCCTCAAATATGCCAAAAAAGTCTTCAGTTCAGATCTAGTATGACAAAGACATATTTCTTGGCTCTCTTTTGGATATATGCAGTTCTTGCACATTCTTGTGGTGTCAACTTAACACGTTGAGAGGCTTTCTGATGAAACCATTGTTTTGGCCTGAAATGTTGTGAAAGCAACAGATCTGGCCTCCAAACCCAACCCCCAGCTCAACATTTGCCTCCTACCATGACTTATTCAGTTCAAATAAAAAAACAGGGGTCACCCCTAGTGCCATATCCACCCTGGCACATATGGATTAAGCAGCCTGTGCGCTCAGGTATGCAGGGGACCACCTTGTGGGATCTGACACAATGCTGAGCAGGAGGACTCTACAGAGCCGGACAGATAAATAGTGCATATGTGCACAGCGCAACTCTACAGAGCATGTGGCTATGTCCCGTCTGACTTGCTGTGCCATGAAGCACTCACGTGTAGCCATTTGCCCAGCAGCTCAGGCTGCCAAAGGCTCAGAAAAGTACCTTAACTGCCACGGAAAAATCTCAGGGTTGGCTGCTGGGTCTCAGCCAATCCCTTGCAAATGTGGAGCGTGGATCCAAGAGACCGTGCCTTCAACCAGCATTGGCTACAAATACCCCAGCTGTGCATGCTCACCAAGAGAAGCTAAGGACACAGGAGGGGCCAGTGGTAAGGATATACATGACTCAGTCTCTGGAGAGACACAGGACACTCCTGTGCGTTACAGTCCCAGATGTCCCCCTGCAAAATCCCAGATGACCCAGCCCTTCTGCAAGGTGGTTCTTGTCAGAACAGCAATGCTCAGAAAAGGCATGAGATTTAGCCCTTGCCTCTGCACCAGTTGGGTTCTGTGACACCAACACAAAACCTGGGCCAAGAAGTTAAAAAGAAAAAAAAGTAAAAACCCATATGCATTTGAAAATATGTTCAGAAACAAACAAACAAAACCTCTTATCCAAACAAACCATAGTTAGATCTTGAGTGAGACCATGTTTATGAAGGTTTAGCCAAGAAGCTTGCTCGGAGATACTTCTCCAGTCTTAGCATAACACTACCAGCCTGGACAAGTGCTACTAGATAACACCTCATTAAAATGCTGTTGTGGTATTTATTTATAGATAGTAATTTATATCATACTCATCATACACACCAATATGGCAGCTATGACAGCAAATCAGACTGCTTCTCCCACAGTACTCCCTGCCCAAATCCATCATTCCCCCTTTTACCAAGGCAAATGCTTCCCCCTTGGTATCTGGCATGTGTTTGGAGTGACAGTGCTGTCAGGGAATGAACTTCTCTTTTTCTGCGTTTATCCAGTCCCACATCATTCTCCAAACGTGCAGGTGGGGTATCAAGATGCAACAGCCCCATCAAGAGCTGGACACAAACATCTAGGGTGTTTCGCAGCTAAACGTTCTTGGGTACCAATAATCATTAGCCATCTCTGGAGTGGACTGGCAGCTGACTTCTGCATTTGCTGGAGAATCCAAGTGGCTTTAAAACACGCCATGGCTAAGAGCAGAGAAGCTTCTTTGCATGTCATGAACACTGGTGCAACAGCCAGCCTGATAAAGCACCTTACATGAAAGCATAGGGTGCGTCTTCAGTGGAAGACAAAAAAGAAAAAAAAAAGAAAGACTGGCAAAAAAAGAGGTTAGATGAGGTAGCTGGGACTGCCAGGGGCAATCTGAAATCAGTTTACATTAGAGCAGGTTGCTCTTGATTTTGCTACAGCAGTTGTCACGCTTGGTAAGAATAACAAGTTAATCATATGGCAGCCACCATTGTGCGGCTCAGCACAGGCAGCCTAGTGGAAATAAATACATGCAAGTGCAGTGGTTAGGATGGGACAATTTTTTAAAAAAAACGCATAAAAGGATGATGTAAGTAAGCTTCCATTTCAGGAATCTACAAACACAACTGTTTCCCTATAAGAGACCCTTGTCACTAAAGCAGCTGATGTTTTATCCTAAATCTTCAGTTTGGAATGAAATGCTTGCATATACATCCCACTGTAGCTCCTAGGTCCTTCTCACTATCTGGCCCCTTCAATCTCCAGCTTTTCTAAAACTTTCAAGCTCCCCAGCTATCTAGAGTTCCACCTTTGTGCATGCCCAGAACTGCCCCAGGCTTGACAGGGCCAAGCAGCTCAGCCCATTTCACACCTAAGTCTGATCGAGATCCAGAAACTGGGTGTTGCTTTGCCTAAATCCCCTGAGGGTTTTGATCAGGGATTATATGTTACCTAGTGACTATTTCATGTAAAATGCATAAACAGTCCTGGGAGCAGAGTCCAGAGCCTAGAACTCCCATGTGAATGCTTTAACCATTAGCAAAGACAGTCATGCTCCCCCGTGTGCACTTGCTTTCTGGCCCAGTGATTCACCAATGCATTGCTGTGGAGCAGATGATCCTCAGCAGAAAGCAGGCCAGGAGTGTCCAGCTCATTGCCCTGTGGTTTGGGTGTTGTGCTGGACATGGAAGATGGGTACAAACACCCAGAGGAGAACAGTGACCTGTGGGTCACTTCCTGGCTGCTGGTAATCAGTGTTTCAGATGAAACTGCACTTTGCTGAGTGCTGTGACAGAAAGGCTGCCTGTACTCACCCTCCAGAGGAGAGGCTGGGCTGGATCACTGCAGCAGTAGCATTTAGAAGTGAGAAATTTCCCTGTTAGGCTCTCTAATCAGCATGTTGAAGGTTTTGCACGTCATGTGGAGGTACTAGACTTGCCTCGGGCACGCTGGCTCCCACGTCAGAAGCTGGGCACTAGAAATCAAGAATCACAAAGCTTAATACTGAGATAACAAAGTCCTCTTGGGTATAACTTCAAAAATGTATAACTGCATCTGCAAATGGCTACATCACGTTGTTCAGCCCGGGCATCCAGGTCCTGGCAAACACAATGTGGTGTTTCATGAATTCATATACATCCCACTGTAGCTCCTAGGTCCTTCATTGCCTCATCCAGGACAATTTAGCAGGGAGGAGGAGGGAAATAGATTTGTGTCATGTTAAAAAAAGGAAACAATTGTATTTAGATAATCACAAAACACCAAAATGCTTTCTGTATCTGTTTGCATTGCTCATGGAGATTAGAGACATTTTTTCACAGGCAGAGAATTATTTAACCATAAAAATGCATAAATTATGACATTTATCTGAGGAAATATTCAACTGGACAAGCTTCCATCTGGACAAAATTCATGACAGTTTATCATTTGGTCTGGTTGTTTGCCACCTTTGCTGCACAAATTATTTGCTATGGTAGAAATTGGTAATTCTTCGCTGGGCCAAATACACAAATACCAAATACACAAAAATGCTTTGGAGAATGCCATAATTTGCTCACAAATACAAAGCAAAAATCATTTATAAGATTCATTCACTACCACAGTTGTTCCAAGGTGCACTTCTCCGTTTGCTGCAGTGCTCAGAAAGCTCCGCTGGAAACTGCTCAGCGCGCCTAGCATGCCTACGCAGAAAACATCAAGAGAGAGCTACAGGCTAAGTCACTTTTAAAAAACACTCTGAGGCTTCCTTCTCTCTGAGACGCCTGGAGAAAGAGCAAAGCTGTTCACATTGCCCCACACCATGACTTGGAAGCAGTTATCTCCTTCTTACAAAAAAAAAGAAAGGGAACACTCTTCTGAACTGTGCATTTCAGCCCAAAGTAGCTCCCCGCCACGGCCACAGCTCCCCCGGGATGGTCACTGTGTTCGCCATCCTGGGTAGCCAGACGCAGGAGCAGCTACCAACCGAGCTCAGGCCTGGCCAGCTGCTGCTGTAACACACTTGGGTCCTCTGCAGCTCAGCACAAAGCAGAAGCTAAAACACAGTGATACTGCTACAGAGCCCAGTCCCAAGACCACCCTTAGCCACAGAGGCCTACGGATACTGCAGGGCACATACAGAAGGCCGACCTTGGTTGCCACAAGGGTAGGCAGTTATTTTTATTGTGCCATTTGTGCCTGTGCATTGATCAAATCGTAAGGGCAAAGGAGACTGCAGATGTTGGGCAGACTTCGCATTCCACCCCTAAAATAGCATAGCCTTTGTATAGTGATCTTGGCCTAAACCCGAAGCCTAACTAGAGACGTCAATATCTCTAAGCCTATTCAATATGACTCCTCAGTTTGTGAGCAAGGCCTCTCTTTATTAGACTAGGAAGGGCTAGAGAGAAGGCTGGTACGTCAACCAAAGGGACTCACCACTGTCACAAGCTGAAGTGCAGCAAAGCACAATGTTTATGGGAAAACAGAAGAATTTTGTCCCCGAGGCTGATGATTGCCAGGCGCATGAAATGCTAAGGTACAAACTGAGAGAGCATGTCACCACATCTAGCCCTGTCTGTGACACATCCAGCCCTGTCTGTGAAGCTTGCGTTTCCGCAGTGCAGTGCTCTGATTCACAGTGCTGTTTGCAGGGCATTAGTACGTGCCTCTCTGAAAATCAATAATAACTGCAGGGGAAAATTAACAGATGGTCATGGGGGAAATCTCCTGAGGTTTTTTTCCCCTTCTCTGTCATAACAGGCTACTCATGCATTTCTGAAACCACCTGCACGTTTTCCCAGGTGTCCTGGCTATTGGTTAGAACAGAGTGTGTGTCTCTGCATTGGTGCTTGCAGCGCTGGGCTTCCTTCTCATTATATACCTCTCATATACTGTGCATGAAAGACTGCACAGTCCAGAAGTTCACTGTCATGATGCTAGTGAGATTTGATGTGGGGTGATGACTAGTACTCAGGACTGGGTTCAAGGGATACTTACATTTTCTAGCTAATCCCATTGTTTCAGGAGAGTCACCCAATGTCCCAGTATCCCAGTTTTCCCATCTCTGTAAGGGGAAGAAGTAAGACCTCTCTGGCCTTTAGAGGAAAAGTGCAGTGTATCACTGTCGTTAAAGACTCCTGCAACTCATGAGGCACCTCAGAAACAGCAGCAGCAGCTGCTACCTGGAACAGAGAAGCACCAAGAGGAAACAGCACAACACCCAGGAAGGAGAGCAGAGAGCTCTGCCACCTTGGGCGTATACTGCTGCAGACAGGTGGGGATGGGTGGCAACTAGATAGCCCATGAGTAACCAGCATGTGCACTCGCATACGGCATCGCCACTCTGCAAAGGCTGCCAGCTAGTAACACTTACTGCTCTCCCTGCCACGATGTGCGGTGCGGCCACGTGCTCCTTCACAGCAGCGTGGAGGCATGGGATCTAGGGCTTTACGCTACCATCCTCTTAACCCTGCTTAACCTAGAAGGTATTTGCCCAGATCCCCAGCTCAGCCAGATTTCCTAAAGCAGGCATCGATCCCATTATATTCCCTGCTGCCCATGCCAGACGTTCTGGGATGGATGCCTGGCGCACAGCAGAACAGCGCAAGGGCTCTGCGTGCCCTCCCCTCCCTCTGTGTCAGTAACGCTAAACGGCAAGGCAAACAGGAGGGCTCCAGAGCATCCAAAATATCCCCTTCCTTTCAGCCAGGAGCCATTGATGCTGCTTTCTGATGCTTGTGAACCCTCAGTTGCCCAAATTCTCTTTCCACTCCACTTCAAAGAGCATACCATGGTCCAACCCTACACGTTCTGCCCTGTATATGCTACTGCTTTCCTCACCTCAGCACCTCCTGCTCAGCCTCACTGTCATCTGCTTGGAGGGCAGCAGCTCTTTAGAAAGCCGGCCTTCCCCTTCCCCACTCAAGCTCCACGGCCTGGGGTGCAGGGAGGCCCTGCTAGCCTCCAGGACTCAAGAGCATGTATTAAGCCTTAGGCACTGGAAAGGTGCTCTGAGTTCACAGCCAAACGTGACCTGTTCTGAAGAAAAAAAAAACGCCTAGATTAACAGGCACTTCGGGCAGCCTGAGCAGGGGTTTTTGATTTGTTAAGGGATCATTCCTTCTCAAAATGCATTTCAGGGAGCCAGAAACTGTAGTTTGCAATCTGTGCGGCTTCTTTTTCCAAAGGTGACCCCTTGCATGTGTGTGTGTGTGCGTGCGCCCCTGCTACCTCCCTCCATGAGATACCTGAGCGTGAGGCAAACCACCCTCACAAACTTGGGCTGGAGGCACATGCTGGCAGTGCCAGGCTGCCTGCGTTTCGGCTGTCTCCTCTAGCAGTAACATGTACATCCTAGTCTCTATTTGGAGGAATAGCGGTGTGACATCCAAAGTGCCTCAGGCCAGTGCAATTGAAGGACATGAACATTACAGATTACAGATGAGAAGCAGTGGTTAGCCAGCAGTTGGCACAAGTATTGCTTTTCTGATAAGCACTTTAAGTGGCTCATTAATTGGAAAAGCTTTTCTAATGAATCCTACCTGCAGCCAGGAGATGCACCACAAAGGACAGGATCTAGCCCTTTCCCAGACTTCTGCAAGGTGGCTAAAGACAACAAGGGCTTGGAAAATGACCACTTGTTGGCAAAAGACAATGGCAAGGCAGGGGTTGTGATGCACAAAGTGCACACATGCTCAGTCACTAGGAAGAAGGATGTTCTCTAACACTCATGTTTGAATTTTAACTGTTGACCATGGGCCAGGTTCAGTGATGACGTAGGTGGTTTTGTAAGTTACCCATCAGTAACTTAGTGGGGTGGCTGTAAGCGGGCCAGCACCAGCACCACCACAGCTCTGAACTGGCACGCTTCCATAGGGAAGATGCATGGGTCTAACTGGGAGCCCAAAAGAGAATTTCCCAGGAGATAAATAATGTCCTATCTGATATTTCAACCTTGGTTGCCTACAGTGTCCTAAGACAAACAGTGGCAAAAATACGAAAGGGTTTTTTTGGCTGCAGCTGTTTCCCAGCTACAAATGCTCTCTATAGATTTTGAGATGTTGAAAATAATCTATGAGAATGTGGATTATTTTTTAATTGTTATTTTAGTCCAGAATTGGGTTGGAAATAATAGTGATGGCAGGAAAGGTAGGCCAGGCTGATTTTTTACAGTAAAGCTGTGTTGTACTTTAGATTACTTATTAACAAACAGCAAATGGGCCTCTGCCTTGACCTTTTTTCATTTGAGCAAATATACTCTTCCTGCCCCTGGTAAACAGCAGTTACTGGTAACTGAGTCATGTACCCCCTCACATCACTGAATTTAGTTTTTTGTTCATCTATGGCAAGGATTTTAGTTCAGGTGAGTTTTGCCAGGCTCATCAAGGTTATTAGCAGTAGTATTAGTCATAACAATACCAGAAGTAGTAATAATTCTGTGGACCACCAAGAACCTGAGAATGGCTAAATACTCTGAAAATACTAATTAGCAAAACTCAATAGGAGGTCTGAGAAGCCAGCAAAAATTGAAAGCCTCTGAGAGCCTTCAGCTCTTCAGAGCTGAAGAACTGAAAACGTAGACCCAAAATTAGCAGAGGGTCTGTTTGTCAACCTTCAAATCCTATATGTCTTTGGGTGTCATGAAATGTCAGGTACTCAGTGTTCCTGGCAACACTGCCAGGTTAAAACAGCAGCCTACAGCACATATTTGGAACAGCGTAAGTCAGTAGTAAGTTTGGGAACTGGAGTCAAAAGAAGAGGCTATTGCACTGAAAGCTGGGCTTTTGGTAGCTGCGCTGCTTAGAATGGGACTATCAGGCAAGTCCTAGGTGTTGTGCACATTTCAATCCATGAACACTGGTCCCCTGGGCACTTTGGAAAATCCCACTCCTACTGATCATCAATGCAACTGAAGAACCAAGAAAGTGCCTAGAAAGTGCCATGTGTTTTTGTGCCAACAGACTATGGATACCCACCCCTTTGTCAGCTTTCATATTAAATCTTTCGAGCGGAAGAAATAAACTCCGACAAACACAAGAAACCCCTCTACAGTAGCTGATGACTACTTTTCCCACCTAATTATTTCCCTGACTTCTCTCCACTTATATTAAAGGTCCAGTGGAGGCCAAATCGTGACAATGGTGCCAAGGAGTTTTCAGTGTTAGTTGTAAGTTGATTTATCCAGCACCTATTGCCCAAATCCATTCTGAATCACACAGCAGCAGGCACTTGGTAAACAAGGTGAAAGTTTCATCTGGATTCTCAACCTGTCAGCGATGTCTGTGATGTCTTTGCAGCAAGGGGTAATTACTTGTATTAATTACAGCCTCCTCTAGGGTACATTATGTCACTACATACTGTGGACTGAACCTATAAATCAGATGAGTGACTCTTTTGTTTCTTTGATTTGTTCAAAAACCTTACCATTTGTAGGCACAGAAAGGACATAGGCAAAGTCAAGCTCTCTGTTTTGTTTGCAGTCAGGATGACGTAGTGCCAAGAGCAACAGCCTCACCATTCAGAGACCCAGGTGCAGTTTCTCACTCTGACACAGACTGCTCACGTGATTTAGAGCATGTCACGCAACCTGTCTGTCCCCATCTGTAAAATTAGGATAATGGTAGTTAGTTCATGTTAAAGCCTGAAAGATGTCCAAACAGTAAGAAAAAGAGAGCCTGTTTGAGTCTTCATCCATCAAGGGTCTTCTAAGAGTTACAGCAAGAGCTGTGACTAGACTGACTCGATTTCCCTGTCTATGATATGATCATTGGTCTTTGCCTGGTGGGCAACATTTCACTCTGTGACTCCACGATCACTAGCTAAAGCTAGTTTTCCCTCAAGGACTTCATTGCTCCGTACTGCTCGTTTCTGTCACGCTGTCTTCCACCCCGTCTTTGAAGCCTCTTGCCATATGAGGCTTCACACCCTTTCTGAACTTTGTCAGCAGGCTCCTTTTTCTCTAGGTGGTCCCACTCAGAAACAACCTCTCTCCAGGCCTCATCATCAGGTGCTGGTCCTACGTCACAGCCGCCCACCGCACATCAGTATTCCCACTGCCACAGCTTTGTGGCTGGAAACAGCCCCCTTCCAGTCCACTCTACCATCCTCTCTCACCGCCCATTCAGTCAGCCCCCAGCTACTGCCTTGTACCTTACCACTGACAGTCCCAAAAAAGTCAGTTAATGCGACTACACTGACTTACTCTAGCGATTGGACACCACCACAGGAAACCTTCAGAAGAATAACAGAAAAGGTTACACCTTTCCTCCCTCCCTAAAATATAAACCAGGGCTTTTGAGCGTACCAACTTTCATCCATTTGGTGACTGAATCTGTCTCAAAAATATAGCTGCTTTCTTGAATATTTATCACTACGTGAGGTGATTACTTTGGAGGGTAATGCCTGTGAAGAAATTCTCTGAGAACCTTCTCTCTTCTCCGCAAATGTGGATGGTGAACAGATGCTCAAACTTCACAGCCAAATTCATCCAATTTACCCCATTTAACTCCCTCAACTTCTTTACAGAGTTAGATTAGATGGTCTCCAACTTTGCAATGGAATTTGAAGCGTCTCCTTTGCTGACAATAAATCCCAATGTCTCAGATGTTCCTTTACATCTCCTGTGATAACCACTATAATTGGTCCTTACAAAAAAGAGGCAGGCCTCAGGGTTGAAATTTTGTGAGGTGTTGCTCTTGGGGGAATGGTGGAGTTCGTTTTCCTCCACTTTCCTTTGTCTCAGCTATTCCTCTGCAGAAACACATTGGTGCCAGAGAAGTTTCCAGTCATGTGATGCCTAGTAACTTTAATGGGAGTCCCATAGCTGCCATCCCACACAGTGCTTTGAAGATCCGGGCTCTGTGTTTTATCCCAGATAGACTGTCTATAAAAGTCTCCCAAACAATTCATGCACAGCCTTTGGCTTGGCCAGTTCTCATCACTTAATGTTATCCTACAGCAGAAGCACCCTCAGGGCTTGCATTCAGACAGGAATGGAAGTGACACTGTGTCTCTTTGGGAGCCCTCCTTAGTCAGCAGATCCTAGAATATATAACACGAGTCCAGCAAAGCGGGGGTCCTCTGCATAGCCTTCTGGTGTTGCATTCGCCTGGCATAACATTTGGCAAACATCAAACAGGGGCAGGAAAAATCCCCCCCACCAGATCAGCAGGAGCTTTGGGGGGGGGTTCTGTGGTGTGAGGCACGCTCGGTTCCAGGCACACACCCTTGGCCTGCAGTGAGTCTGAGCGCCATGGAATTACACAGTGCTTTCATAAGATTTTTAGTCACTGTCAGAGAAAAAAAAAATAAATCAAGGGCAGGATGCAGGGAGGGCTGCTTGAGTCATCTGAGAGCCTGAGAGGACATCTCCGCATCGATGAACAGGGGCCCCTGCTGCCGGTTCTGCATCACATGGAGGGGGAAGGTCAGACAATGCTACAAGCAGGGGACAGGACTGTGGTGTGGGACTGCAGTAAGGGAATCAGGACCCTGACAGGTTTCTAAGGTCCCAGACTACAGGATTCCCGTGCTCGTGGGCACACGGATCCAGTGCAGGTATCAGAGGAGGCTTGCGTCACCATGGCTTGCTGCAGCCCTTCTCCTCACCTCTACCCACCCATCAGCTGCCAAGATTGGCTGCCCCATGGGGCAGGCCTGCTCCGTGCAACCCAAGTGTTCAAGAGCTGTTCTGCACCACTTTGCAGCTGCACAGTGGTGCAACAGCTCATGTCCTCACCCAGCCCTTCTTTCCTTACCTTTATCTAAGACAACCCCCGAGTACCTGCAGTCAGGATGTCAGCAGTTGTCTCCTTTACTGAAGCGCACGCCTGGGTGTGCTGGTGGGTGAACAGGGAGCAGTGTCTTGCCATTACCCTCTTCGCTGGCTCTTGCGTAGCTGAAGCAGAGGATGATGAGAGGACGTATGTGCCTCAGCCTTCTCGTTCCCTATGGCTCCTCTGAGGAGATCCCTCAGCAGCACGGAGGGAACAGGAAGGATCTGGAAAGCTCTGTGGTTCTGTGCTGTTTTCATGTTTGTTTACACATGCTACTCTCCGAATGGGCAGAGGTCTGTGAAATTGCTGATTCATCAACATATTTGCCATCTGTGGCCACTTCAAATGGAAGTTTATCCTGACCCAAGGATGATTTACTTTTCTTGGCTGCTCATCTCAAATTGATGCTGTCTCCATCCCCTCAGACTTCGAGGGATTTGGGTGAAAGCAAATATTATTGAATCTCTTGTGAAGCTGTTGAGTTAACTCTAAGCAGTGAAGCATTCAAGTCTCTACAGAGAAGGCGCAAAAGGGCAAGAGTTAGTCCTGGGAACAACTCCTCTCCAACTTCATATCCAGCCATTTTCTTCGACTCTCCTGGTCTCCGCACATTTGTGAAGCCACAGTTTGGAGCTCACTGAAGACAGGAGAGCCTCTGCCACTCAAGGGTCCTGAAGCAGGGTCTAAGCTGTGGATCGGAAACAGCAGTTAAACTGCCAAATACCACACACATCCATCCCAGACAGGACATAGCTACCTCCTGTCCCATCACCAGAAGCACTTCATTTCCTTCTTCCTCACCCGAGCCATCATCAGCACCTGTTTTTTGCAGGTGATCTTGGCTTTAGCCCTACTCCATTTCAATCCTTTCTTTTTTCACAGTGCTCTAATAATCCGCTCTTGCCAATCAACTCTCCCATTAAGGGGCACAGTCTCACCAAGCAGGGCAAAGCTGCGGTCAGTAAGATCGCCCGTCAGGCCATGTCATATGCCACTGTTGTGGCCAAGTAGCTGCCCCCTTCCTCCCCGCCAGCTACGCCTTCCTACTATGTGAAACTGTCCCCTTAAAGGTAGAAGAACCCGCTGTGGGATAAGGTGCCTGAATAAGGCTAGCAGAAATTGGCCTCAAAACATTGCTATTAGGGCTGACACCAGAGTCCAAAGAGGTACTGCTCGACCGCACCACCCACTAATGTCACAGGAGTGGAAGGTGCTTTGCATGCCTCGGTATTAGTCTCAGTGTTATCACAGGACAAATCATAACCATCATACTAAAATTTTGCAATAATGTCGGCTTAATTAGTACTGAGGAGAAAAAAGTTGCCAGGCCAGGTGGCAAATTCTAAGTTTCTCATGTGATTACTGTCAAATTACTATCTCCACGAAAGAACATCATAGGGCACATTTAATAAACCTTGGAAACGTTTATCAGAGCAGCAGTAAAGATCTGCCAGGATCTATGCATATAAAAGAGCCAAATGCAGAGTGGGGTTTTAAGGAGTTACCTCTAATAAAGTGCTTAAAACAAGACTTTAATTCAACGCAGGCACTGAAGTCCAGATTCACAAAGGTCCTTGTCTCTCAGCCATCTGCACTCTGTGGTCTCTCCTTGGTTCACATTCAAGTTTTCTGCTTCCGCACCTGCCCAGAGTGGCACCTTCAGGAGGTGCATTCTCACTATGCTCCACTGCGCTCTCGGCATCCAGAAACGAGGCGCCCCTTCCCTGAATCTCCTGAGGAATGGGGTTTTGCAAATCAGCTCTGAGAAGGCCAAATGCATCCGGAGGCTCTTCACAACATGAAGTTCTGATCGCTTCATTCTAAAACTGAAGCTGGCCACCAACAGTGGGATGGGGAGAGCAAACATCCGGTTAGTGGAAGACACTATGAGTGGAAGACTCATAGGTTTCACTCTATGAGCTTCACCCGGAACAGCTGACTGGCTGTCAGTTAGACAGTCTCATGGGAAGTGAGAGACAAGCACTCTCAGATTGAGGAAGGCATTGAACCCAGGTCTCCCACTTCCTCAATGAACGCTCTAAAATAAAAGACAGTGACTTAGAAGACAGGCACCAGCCAGAAGGAGGGGGCACTGCTCAGTTACTTGAAAGGTATTTCTAGCCCTGTCCTTACGGAGAAGATTCTGGGCTCAGAGTCCTCAGAGACTCAAGCCCAAAGCCCTGAGTGAGGTTTCTCTGTTGGCATGGACATGAGAGTGCAGGAAGGCTTCAGAAACACCTATGTTTTCAGTCTGTCTTCTAGACACCAAACATGCTCTCTGTTTTGGATCCCCATTCTCAAACGTGTAGGTCAGGTCTGGATGCAGCACTGAGGGAGAATGAGGGGAAAAGAGGGGCTACGCAGCTGCACAGCCTTTCTGCTCCAGGCCCCAGGAACACATGCTCATCAGGGCTATGATCCCTTCAACCTGTCCCTGCAGACTGGCTGGCCTGACTCCCTCCAGTTCACCCCAGGGTCCTGGGCTGCCTGCAGGGTGGGGGCACTATTAGAACAGGGGTCTTTCATTTCATCTATGTTCTTCAACTGAAAGGATGTGGCTGGCTGAAGCTCTACAGGTCCTCTGGCTAGTAAATGAATATGCTCTACAAGAATTTGTTTTGGCTTCTCTATGCTTTTATCTTCTGATGGCAAAGGACATTTTGAAATTTGTTTTTTCCCTCTCTATGGAGAATAGGAGAATAAATGACTTGGCACTTTCACACTGCAGTAAAGCACTCTTTAATTTAAAGAGTACTGAATAAATTCTGCCTCATCTCTTCGGAAGTGCACTGTACTTTCAAGGCTTTACGTGTTATCTTGCAATAATAATAACAAGAAAACAAATCTTCCATATAAAACAAAGCAATGAAAGTGCATCAGTTTCCAGTGCTGGCTGGTAACTCTATGTAGTGTATTTTTAGGCCTCTTGTGAAAAAAGGCAACATAATACAACTTTTGCAAGCTGTTTCTCTTGGCAGCTGGCATTTCCATTTTCAGTGTAACTCAAAAGGCTAAAGTGACTGACACCACTCTTAACTACAGTTAAACTCTTACCGTAGCTGCTGCTGCCACTGCAGAGTTCTGCTTTCATGTTGCTGCTAGCACAGGGAGTTTCAGAAGAATCCTGGATTGGCTTGGATACAAGTCTAGCAGGGTACTACAAATAGAAATAGCAGAAGAAGGTAGTAGAGTAAAAATATGCAGTGTTAGCTCATGGGTGGAGAAGCAGTGCAGACAGGAAGTCAATGAAAGGGATAGGCAGGCTGTTGCTTTCTGCTACTTGTAATGGTTTTGAATGTGCTCCATTTCCAAATCCCTGACAAAATTCCCAGTCACTTGAACCTTACTTCCTGCTTTCATATTAACATTTGAAGCCATTCTGGATATAAAGACAACCACATTAGGAAAGAGAATACTTGCTTTTAAACCTGCCCTTTCAAAGCCACCCCACACATTACATAATAGTTCACACGGTCACCACATTATAAAGTTTCATCTCACAACAGGTACAGTGGGGCTGAACAAAGAACCGTGTATTTAAACCTCTCTGACCTTTGGGATATGTGTTTGCACTCTGGGCTCAGTCCATTCATACAGTGGCCCACATCCGAAAATCTGGGTGCCTGCAGCAAGGTTTTGTTTATGCATCTAACAGCCTGGTTTTTCCAGGTGCAGACCACGTCCAGTTCCTACTGACTCCTGCAGCACTCGTCACTAACATTTAGGCATCTGAATATGGATTTAGGAGCCTAACTTCTGGCACTTGTGGTGGAAAACTTTAGCCAATAAGACTGCACAATCCTATTACCATGACAGCTCGGGAATGTGAGAACTCAGCAGTTTGGAATAAGGCGCCACATTAAAAATAGATTAAACTGAAAACAGCCCTTACGGCCTAAGGCGCCTAGGACAAGCGTCTGCCAGCTGAAATGCCTTGTAGGTAACTGTTCATAGTGAATCAGGTGCTGGCTGAAGGTGCCCCCAGTTGCCTCAAGACACAGACAGATTTTTTTTTCCAGAGATACTGTGTTTTTTTCTAGCACCATATGAAACTCAGCAGCTCCGACCCTGAGGGGATCCATGCAAACCTCCTGCTTGCTTTGGTTCTCATGGCACTCTCATCCACTCAGTTTCACTTTGAATATCAGGCTCACAAACCTCAAAAGTCAGTTTAAAGTGATAAACTTTGCCAAGCATGGGCTCTAGCTATAGAGTAGGATTGTACTCCCCCTTTCTTTTAATGCAAGAAACATTCTTTTAAGGTAAGAAACAACGGAGAAACCAAGTTTCCCAGTTCTAACCCATGAGAAATATGATCAGCATCCAGTGCAAGGTGTTGGAAGGACCTATTTCCTGGTCCGTTTGCAGCCTGAGGGTGAAACAAAGGGTGAGCTTGTTTTCCCGGCTGGTGGCCTCCTGCTAGCCAGGGACAAAAATCACTTGTGCCTTTGGTTCTCTTAGATCTGCCCAGCAGTGACCACAGGGATTTGCTGACCTGCCGGTGGGCACTTACAAGAGTCGATGGGGTTGCATTTCAGTGGCTCCCTGCTTTCCTCTCTGAAAGCTCCCAGAGGACAGTGATGCTTTTATGCTCAATATATGCTGTCATTTTTGCATTATATCTTTTTTTGGAAGTAACTTCATAAAAGAGCAAAACAAAACAAAACCCCAAACCCCAAAATCCAAACCCCAAAGAAAGCTGAGGAGTGCTGCAGACATCACAAATGAATGACTGCTCCTTCAGTTGACATGGAGTCAAAAGCCATAGCCCTGCCTGCTTTACAATAGTGATGGGCCATAGAGTGGTTATTGGTCACTAACATTACTTGCTCAGATTTTAGCTCTTTTTCTTCCCCAGTCCCATGGTGTGGTGAGGCCTTGATGGAGGCTTTTGCTGCTGCATCAGCATTTGTGGCATAAAATAATTGTGACAACAGAGCAAATCTTTGGATTCCACTGCTGGGTTGCTTAAGCGCATATAAGACCAAGCACAACCCCAGCTTCCCACTGTTCTCCTCCTCAGAGTTCAGTCCTTCCATGCCTGATTCATGCAGCGGGCACACACTGACAGCATGGATTACAGTCTTGTATAAAGACTGACAAATGACTTGCGCAAAGCGGACTGGATGTGTTCGCATGTAATGGCTCAGTGTGCAAGCATACACCATCCAATTTCATCTTCAGCTGAGTACAGTAACTCACCAAATATTGCATTGCACTTGACAGATTAAGAAACCTTTTGTATTTTATTAGGTTTAATTCCCCGCATATCTCTCTACACTTCATTTTCCCTGTAAGATTTGGAAATGCCTTACAACAACAGGATCAAGAAAAGAACAATATCTACCAGGTATGTGAATGACTAACTCTGCTGCAAAAACAATGCCCAAACCTTTTGGGGGGGGAGGGGGTTCAGAGAAATTCTGTTTCTGTAGGATACAGGTGATCTCAAAGCATCATTGACTGGGTTTCAGTGGAATAAAGAAAACCAGCTAAATGACAGATGGGGATAAACATCCCCCAGACCCTGGGCTTTTCAGGGACTTCCCCTATTCCCCCACTTTACACGCCCCCCCTACACTTGAAGTTCTAGAAGTCACCTTTTCTATACATAACTTTAAAAATTTACACTAGGCTTTATAATCCTAAAATACCTCTATGGCACACTGCCATGCTTGCAAGACGTGGGTGGAAAAGCTGTCAGCATAGCGGAAAAAATATTCTGCTGAAACTCAAATCTTTGCAGAAAGAGCTGAGTCATTCTTTCGCAGTTAAGGTAGTCCAGGCTTGTTACCCTCGCCTGTGTGTTTGGATCGTGTCTGGCATGCGCAACCATTCTCTGACTACCACAGACTGCACTACACCTCTAAACAAGGACCGTGCTGGAAGCGCCAGGCTGACTTACCTCGCACAGGTGTATCGTCCACTCATATAAACGGATGCTGACCATCCTGGGGACTCAAAGCCTTTGAGTACCTACAGCAACACAGGTAGCTTTGCACTGCCAATTCCTGTACATCAGCTCAGCTCTGGTAAGCAAGACGATCCTCACCAATATTGCCAGCTTATGATTTGATCACAGTTCTCAAGGCAAATGATGTTTTCCTCAGCTCCTGAAAATTAGTACTTGTTTATTAAAAAGCAAGAACATAGTGAACAGCTTGAAAACCTAACTCAAATGCACAAAACTAAGAGGGGAAGACAAAAAAAAAAAGGAAAAAAGATCCCCTCATTTATTATTCTTTTTTTTTTTTTTTTTAAGTCTCCTGAGTTTTTTTAAGTCACTGTTATTGTTTTGGCTGGGAAGAGGGAGCTGCCTATGAGCCATTTATTACCACATAAAATGACTGAAATTGTAAAGGTCTACAAGTCATAACTATCAACTGATTACAGACTCTACTACTGTTGTGAAATATGAAATCTATAAAGCTCATTTTGAAAGGAACTCTAGTACAGCCTATACATTTGCATTCCCCAAACTGTAAGTACAACATAATTCAGCTTGAAAATCTTTGATTCTTCAACCTGCATTTTAATTAGAATGCAAGATTTACCTGAAAAATTATGTTTGTGTGTCCAGATCAGAAGAGTCTACATGCATGCCAAAAAGTGCTTAATTTGTATGGCAATAATGTGCCAGATTTTCAGCATGCACAAATAATTTTCATATGAACTGCAGCAACAATATATGCTGATTAGCTGCAACATACACATGCAGCCGTGCAAGTGCTATCATTGGGATTCACAGTTGCTTACGGTGCAAATTTGCCACCGTAAGATGGCAATATCAGAAGTAACTTTTGCATTTTAAACCTTATAATGACAAGCACACTCTAACAAATCTTCTGTAAAGCTTATTTGCCAGTTTTGTGTTATGTGCTAATATAATAGCTAGTAGCTGGTTTAACTTGGCATCTGAGGGTTGCCCAGCAACAGGACAAGAGGCAACGGGCAGAAACTGAACCACAGGACGTTCCATCTGAACCTGAGAAAAAACTTCTTCACTGTGAGGGTGACAGAGCATTGGAACAGGTTGCCCAGAGGGGTGGTGGAGTCTCCTTCCCTGGAGATATTCAAAACCCGTCTGGATGTGATCCTGGGCAATATGCTCTAGGTGACCCTGCTTGAGCAGGGAGGATGGACTAGATGATCTCCAGAGGTCCCTTCCAACCTAAACGATTCTGTGATTCTGTGATTCCTCTTCCAGTGGGAGGATATATTCTATATTGTACATCATAAAAGGGTGCCCAGATATACACATCCCAAACTCAAACTGTTCTCCCACTGCATGCACTGGAATTATGGGTGGGACACTGGTAATGGAAGAAATGCAAGAGAAGGATTCCCCTATGTTCCAAAATTTTCTGAAACTTTTCTTGTCATTCTCATATTTCACAAAACCCAGCAGTCCTCCAGCAAGAGCACTTTGCTTTTCACGGGAAATGACTCTGACTGGGGCCAAAATATGCTTTTCTAAACAAATAGATTATGTTATATAGCATGAAAGCTAAAAAAAAAAAAAAAAAGTAGCCTCAGCATGCCTACTCCCCATCTGCCATCATCGAGAATACACATACACCAGCTTTGGCTGAATACAGTTTCAACCGCTAGGCCCTTAAACAGTAGTTGTTAAACAGCTTTCTCTCTCATGGGCCCACTCTCTCCTTTTCCTGTATTCCTTTTCTTGGATGATTTGTTTCAGTCCAGTTAAAGTCAATGAGAATTTTGCTGCTGGCAGAAGCAAACTCTAAACGTCCTCACTTCTATGTCCTAACTGCAGCCTGTTGCTTCCTCTCTTTGCTAACTTTCCCTCAGTATTACATTTTCTTACAAATACAGATCTCCTCTTCTCCAGTCCCGACAGCCTTGTTCATGCTTCTGCTTGCTGGGGATTGCTCTGTAAACTGGCCTGCAATGACCTCCACTGCGGCACCATACTGATGAAGGAGAAAGCTACTCTTTTAGATCTCATTTGAGCACATTTTGCCCACATGGCAGCACTGGAGATGGCATTGCTAGGCACGGTGCTCATCTGCTCAGCCCCTCGTCCTCAGTGAGTCTAAAGCACAGTTGTCTTCTGACTGCTGCGGAATGAACCAGCATGTCTAAGTCCTGTCAGACCTAGGGCACCAGCGGAGGTTATATCACTGCCAGCTGCATGATCTGCAAAAGAGCAGCCACATCAGAACATGAACGTTCTCTCTAGCAGCAGCATAGCCAAGAAAGAAAAGGCAGACACAACTCACTGTCTCTCCAGGAAGGTCTCTACAAGTCAATCGACATTGCCCAGTGAAATAAATCAATGAAAAGAGACCTATAATCCATACTGGGCCATGGAGCAGGCATCTTGCACAGAAGCATCTAAGCCTTTAAAAAATATTCCTCAGTTATAAGCAAGAAATACAAATACCAATATATATACTGTTCAGATGAGCCCCAAAATGTTTTCATTATTTGAAATCTTCTCCCATTGGCTCCTGAAAGGGAAGAAGCAAATTTCACTCAGTGCAATAAATATATGAAACTCCCTCAGTCCGTTGCTCGTGAACTCTTGCAGGAATAATTCAGGTCACTGACATAACACTGAGGAATATATCCAGCTACTGAACAAAGTACATACACAGTAATGTCAGGAAACATCTGTCACTATTTAAAATTCTAAGGAAATAATCCATATAAAAAGTAGCTAAAAAGTTACAGTTGTAATACTCATGGCTAAAAAAAGAGTCAGATTGCCTATGTCTTTTGGTAATCAAATTACAAAATAAATTATATGAACTAAATTAAAAATGTGAATGACATTCTTTGACTACTATATAGACTAGGTCTCATGAAACATCCACTTGGATTTTCCCTTAGCAAAGGCCACTTTTTAAATTTTACGAAAAGTCTAAATGCCAGTTTGCACCATTATGAATCAACAACAAATATTCAATTTCAGCTTGACTGTCAGCAGTATTTTAGCTAAACTGGCAAATCAATAAAAACGTGAAAGTAACTTTTTAAAAGTTAGTGAACATAGTTCTCCAGTCCACCAGTCTCTGCATGAAACTGGACTCTGTTCCAGTAAGGAGAGTTAAAACTTAATAAATAAATGACAAGATAATGAAAATAAAATGCATATGTGACAGGGAAGACAACATGCTTGTATGACAAAGCTATGTGATACTTGGTTATGAGCAGCAAGTTTGGCATTCCGCCCTGATTCCACAGTTACTGGCTGGGGTGTACTTACTGGTAGCTGTGCGTGCAGTCTCCTCTCCCCGAGGGACTTCAGTGCAAATCACATGGGGGATGCAATAAATATTAGTAGCCCAAGATTCAATTCATTTGGTTCTTCAGACAAATCTACAGCCAGATGTATTAGAAACTGTGGAAGGGATATCTGGACTGAGAAAATCGACATACAAAAGTTTCCCTGTATTCAAGAATGTTCTGAAACATTTTGAAGCGTTTATTCAATCAAGAGCTTCCCTGACTCCAATGGGATTTTGACAGAAAAAGTGGGTGAATGTCTGAAGAGGGGTTAATTCCTAAAGGTAGCTCTTCTGTATCATGTAAATAATGAGAAATCACAAAAACACTGCTCAGAAAAGACAGCGGGCTAATCCCTCTCTACAGTCACTTGCTACTGACTCTCTGTGAAGTTGCATCCAGAAAAACTTCCATTACTGCCTACTAACGAGCATCCTAGCATTTTAAGGGAGAAATCAGTTCACCAGACTAATAAAGGAAGGAATAATATCTAAAACCAGCACAAGGGAAGATCTTAAATCTCTCTGTTGACTGGGAACAACTGTTAACATACAAGTTGTCCCCTGCTAGACCAAAAATACAGTCAGTGCAGGTAACCAAAGCCAGCTTCTACAGCATGGGCCCAATCCTGTTCCCACTGAAGTCAGTGGCAGAACTCCAACCTGTTTAATGGGAACAGCAACAAGCTTTCTATCTACTTAATATATATGAGATACGCATCTCTTCCTTGACATATTTTGGGCTCAAAGCCATTGGCTGACACTTGTTTGGTTCTCTGTATGTACATGACTCATGGGATAATATAATGCCTGATTTCCATTCTGCCAGACCTGTCTTTCTCAGTGGTTAACTATTAATTTGGGAGGCAAGATGCAATACTGCAGTAAAATAGGACGGTGTTAAACTAGGCAAAATGCACTTAAATATTGAGAGTAAGTGAATCAGATTCCTTTTTGTGAAGGCTCCCTTCCAGCTGATGATAAACCCACATACCTCTTAAGACATGGGGCCGTTGTTCCTGCAGAGTGAGTTTTTTGTGGAACTCCACCAAACTGCAGAGCAGGCAATGTAATGTAAATGCATCACCTTTACCCCACCAGGCTCAAGGAGAAACCTGTAGTGGAACAGACATAAAAAGTCTTCATTTCCAAGAGTTGATTTTTTTCAGCACATTGAAACACAGATATCTCAGTGCAAGTTGCGTGTGTGTGTGTGTGTGTGTGTGTGTGTGTGTATGTGTGTGTATATGTGATTTCATATGTATAAACAAGGATTTCATTACCATGGAAGAAAGAGAAAGCCAGAACCAGAGATGTCACCTTATTCAGTCATCACTATTTTGGCTTAATCTATTATAACAAGAGAGGGCACTGGGCCTGTTCCTTTAATCAATTAGACCTCTGCCATTGTTTTCAGCAGAAGCATGCTCAAACCAAGCGAGCGCAGTGTTGGGAGGCACCTGTTTTCTCCTAACAGCGAAGCATCTTCCGCCACCCGCTTTCAGGGTGGAAGTTGGCATGAAGCACTCCAAAAGCTGTTTCCTATCCTCCAGCCACCTGCAGCAGGTGGATAAGGCAGGCTCCTTGAGGGTAATTTGCCTGTTGTGACAGGAAAAAAAAACCAAATCACTGAGAAATCCTCACATCCCTCCCCCCCCGACCCACTCTCTGCTGCAGGACTTTGTTATGGTCATGAGCAACATCTCAACTCTGTACACAGTGCTGGCAGACAGCTACTCCCTTCCTCCCCGCACCCGTTTGGACATGTGATTACTTGCTTGGCCTCTCAGTCACTGTGCCTCCACGTCCCCAATCCCACCTCGGGGACTGACGAGGGCCAGGGTGGAGAGGGAAGGATTGCACAGGCGCACTCATCATTTTGTGTCAGGACGGGCAGATGCCGGTAGCATTGTAGCAGCACTGCCTATAAAAGAAATAGGCTCAGTAGGAAACTTTCAAAAAGCCACCGCACCGCTGTGAGGACGAATGCCTCTGAGCAGGAACACACCCAGAGCATCCTCCCAGCGCCGGGGCTGCTCGAGCCCGTGCCCAAGTCCAGATAAAGAGCCCTGGTGCAGAGAAGGTGTGTGCAGGGAGAGGAGTGGGAGCACGGCAGCACGGCCTGCCCTTGCCCGCAGGCACACCATGCATACCCCCTGCGCGCCGCCCTGCTCGGCACCAGCGCGGGCCTCCATCGCTTTTCACAGCAGAGCGCATAAAAAATCCTTCCCATTATCTAGCTATTCATAACGCATGTCTAAATACTATTGAAACAGCCTGGTTCATACGTCGCTACAAGGACAGGGCTTGGGGGTCACACACAGCATTCCTCCATTCACGGAAATAACGCTGACAAATGTTCTTGCACTACTTGTCAGGTCACCTTTACAACAGGAATCAGGCATCCAACCTGAGTTAATGCCACTCCATGCTTTCTTCTCCGTACTCACGCCAGACTGCCGTTCCTGCCGAAGCGAACCCGTTCACCGAGAGGGGAGGCACACGGACCTTGCAGCACGCCGGGCTGCCCGCCTCTCACAGCAGTTACCCTGCAGGGGCTACGCCTGCAAACTACAGCACTCTGTGCCAGCGACAAAAATCATCCTGCAAACTATAGCACTCCGCGTTGGTGACAAAATCATCCTCTTCGGGGTGAAGTTCAGCCCATGTTCTGGGGTTTCCCAAATGCAGGAAGTCTGACAGCATAATTTGTGGCAGTAAGGGAGTGCTTTCACGCTCACCTGGGGAAGGAGGGGAATAACTGGAAAGAACAAAACAAAACAAAACAAAACAAAACACCACGTCTCTCCTTCCAGAGCTGGAATACTCACTCTGGCCCTGTGGTTACAGCAAACACCCTAAGCACGCAGCGGTGAGAACTTTTCCAGCAGAGCAATGGCTTGAAGGACTCACCTAAGGCTCAGCCTAGGGCTAGGGTTGAGGGGAAAGGAAGCCATGCACAGCAGTGGGAGAGGGGCTGCCAAAGCAAAATGCAGGCCGCAAAGAGCACTGTGCTGCGCGAGCGGCATGGCTGGGCAACGCAGGGGGCTTTGGCTATGCTCAGCCTATGGTTCGGGTTGGGGTTAGGGTTATGGAAAGCTGCTCGCTTTGGCACTGTGTTCAAGGTAAGTATTTCTAAATGCTTCCCTGCTATCAACTCCACAATATCCCATGGCACGCTGCGTTTATATAACTATTGAAACACCTATGCGGTAGATAGGCGATCTTAATTTTGCATCATGGAATGGTTGAGTCTTCAGCCGCTATAGACCTATTTAATCTATAATCCATTTAAATTAATGAGAAAAATCTGCTTTGTTTGAGGCCATAAATGATTTGCTGAAACCACACGCACACACGGTGAGTCACAGCTCAGAACATAACTCAAATGATCGGGACTGTATTCTCATGCTCTAACCACCAGATTACAGTCCCTCCCACATATACCCTGCAATAATCTCGGCTCAGATGATAACAGCTTTTCCCCACTTTACATGTTGGATGGCATTACTAAGTACAACACATCATACGCTACAGGAGCACAGCTTTACAGGGCCGGGGGAGAGGAAACATGAGTAAAAGTCATTTTTGCTGGACACCAGTAGAGCTTAACTCTACTAGTTCCCAGGCCCCGGCTTTAAATCTAACTGAAAACCAAAATCTTTAATCCTGATTCATCTTTTACACATCCCATGCTGTGAGCACTCACAGACCGACTGCCATGACAGCTTTTGGTGGACCAACCTTACCCTTTCTCAGCTCAGGAGAACAGATGTTAATGCACTCGCAGCTGCTGTCAGGACGGAAACCCTTCCTGGAGGTGGTGAGGGTACTCTGCGCACCCAAAATTGCGCCTGAACTGGGATGTTGCTTCACGCCTGTGGGCACAGCATAGGTTAGAGTGAAACTTGAACTAGTACAACCATATTCAACCAGATTTGGGAGTTTTTATGAGGATACGTGTGGGCTTACGGCCCAGGTATCACTGCCTCAGACACTTGTGCGTTCAAACCTGTCTTTTAGGCTTGTCCGAATTCTGTTATCACCGTGTGCTGGGACGCTCCAGTACCGGCAACAGCGACGGGGAGCCACGCTGCCGGTGGACACTGGGTGGGGAAATAACGTCACCGGGGGCCAGCAGCCACTGGCGCGAGGCGGCCACCGCCGGGC